CAACTTTCTTGCTCTCTTTAGGCCGTTTCCTCCGTTGTCAAACAAGAAAATCACGTGAAAGCTACCTCTTTTCTCGCTTTTCTCAGTAATTTTCCGGGGAAATCAATTCTTTCCCCACTCTCTCAATGGATTACTTCAAAAAGTCACAAACATACACCCAGTAGAAACCCAGCATTCAGAAATTTTCTCGAAATCCCTTCCTGAAACAGATGGAACCCAATAATCCAGCAACATTGTTATCTTGGATAAAAAAAAAAAGAAATTAATATATAAGAGATGAAAATCTTGAATCAAGAAAAAGGTGAGATTTTTTTGAAATTGAAACAGAGGAATGGAAGAGAAGAGAAAATGGGAGTAACTGTTCTGAGTTTGAGCTTTGCTGATTGCCGATAACGGGGGGGAGGTAGAGAAGACAGAGAAATTGGAAGGTAACGCAGGGCGGAGAAGTGTGGGGCCGAGATTTATCCACGTGTAGAAAGGAGATTTGGGAGGATTGAGTTTTACTTTTTCTGAGGACATTGTGCGGTTCCCTATGCATGCTGCCGACTGTTTTTTGGGCTCGGTTTCTTCCCTTCCGATTTGTCAGCCGGTTTCCCCTCCGTTGAGTTTTCTCTCCGTTTTCGACACGATTCCTTTACATGACTGCTGCAAATTCACAATTTTTATTTTAATTTTGTTTAGATTAAATGTTAATTGTAATTTAAAAATTTTTAGTTTTTGCATTTTTTTATTTTAAAATTATACAAAATATTTTTTTTATTTTTAATTAGTTAATCAATTAAATTTTTTTATATTTTTTCATATATCATAAATTTAAAAATTAAAAATGCATATAGTAGATAAACTTAACTTATTAATCGATAAAATAATTTAAAAAATATATTTTTTATAATATAAAAATTAAAAAAATATAAAAATTAATTTAAAAACTAAACTAAACATTTAACATTTTCTTTATAAAATCCTATTTTAGTTTATACATGAATTTTTTTGTATAATTCTAATGGTAATATGTTTACACCCTTTTTTGCCTAAAAATTCTAATTTATCTTGCAATTTTAAGTGAATTAAAATTCACTTTGGTACAATTCTTATATAATTGTATATATTATTTGTGCAAATTTTGTAACTTGTACTTAATATTCGAAAAAATTAAAAGAGAAAGATTGGCTCAAACTCTTAATCTAGGGTAATATTGTCATGTGAAATTCGTAGGTGATAAATGTGCAAATGAATGGAGGGCAAAGTTCGAGTTTTGAGCGGAAAATCTAGAGAAGAGAATGTTCAGGTAAAGTCCAAGAATAAAGAACAGAGATTCCCTTTTATGTGGACCCACCCAACCCCAAGTGATCCTGGAAAGATTTTTTTTTTTTTAAACAAGGCAAATTTTTAAAGAAATAGAGGAAATATTATAATTGTTTCTAAAAAAATTTAAATATCAACACAAAATAAAATTTTTATTACGTATTATCAATTCATCTAAGATTGGTAGTGCGTGATTTTAGAAAGTTGATGTTATCTATTATCAATTGAATTAATTTAGTTAAAGTACAATCACTTTATGAAAGTCTAAATGATACAAATTTAATATGAAAAGAGACAAATGTGAAATCATTGGTTAGATTCATGTTAAATTTCATGCCAACAAGAAACCAATATTATGTGTTTTTTCATAAAAGATTGGGTTGCAAAACGAAAAACTAACTAGTGTATACCTTTACCACCTATCATTAATTCCCCCACACATTAGTTTCTTCGTCTATAACCTACAACCATAAATAAATTTGTTCACAATTTTGTGTGTATAATTGTTCATATATTTTTTTATAAAGTAATTTGCTTGTCCATTCAGAATCATGTAAAATCTATATGACTATAAATTCTTTCATAAATCTATTCATATCTGTTAATTTATAAATTTTCTGTTTGTTTGTTCATAAATCCATTCAATTTGCTCAACACTAATTTGTTTGCTGGTTTGTTCACAATTGTTCAACTATCATCCATCTATATTTACAAATCTATTTGTTTCTTAATTTACAAACTCATTTCTCTACTCATTGATAAATTTATTTACAAATCCGTCATCCGTCCATAACTATACATAAATTTGTCCACTCATCCACAATCGCCCATAAAATCTATTCGTAGATGTCCACCCATAAATCTACATGTTCTTAAATATATTCGTATCTATCAATCAATAAATCTATCTGTCCATAAATCCATTTGTTCAAAGTTTGTCCGTCTTTCAACCATCCATATCCACAAATCTATCCGTTATTTTAATTTGTTCAAAAATTCGCCGATTCATAAATCCATCCATTTGCCAATATATCAGCCCACAACTTATACATAAATTCATCATCCATAAATCTGTCTCTATTTGTCGATCCGCCATCTTCCAGCACCATCCATCCATACCTACAAATCTCTCCATCCTTAAACAAAACCACAAACAACCAATATTAAGTTTTTCTTCTTCTTTTTTTTTAAATTAAGTTGCCCAAAAAACGAACACTAATTTGTATTTTTCGTGAGTCTTGAATTTTCAAAGCTATCATATTTTTTCTTAAATAAACTAAAAGAGATCTTCGTAATATAAATCTCACAATAATATGTCTGGAAAGTACATCCGAAATTCACATGTTTGGTAACTATTCTCCCTTTTACTAAATTCCTCAGTGTTCAAAAAACAAAATTTGCTCTTCTTCAATAAAATGTATTAAAAGTCTCATTAACACACAATTAGACTGATGTCGTCTAGAAATTTTATTATTCTCCCATTGTTCTCTTAAACTCAAAACCTATAAAGTACTCACTACTCATAAAAAAGGGAAGAAGAAGATCAGTGCTAATCTTTTTAATTGTCGATGATGACAATATTCGAGGCAGAGAGAGCATGTGATTGTTGAATGGTTTTGTGACACAAAAGTATGTGGCAAAAGAGCCATTATCCAAGCTTTGTGGTAACCACCCGTCCAGCAGACTCTTATCTTCTGTCATCTTTGCCTTAAATAACAAAAACATTTTTCACCCAAGTAGCTTTCAAAATTACAACAAAAAAACGGGTTCATGAACACATATATAGCTGGTGCACTCTGTTTCCAAACAAAGACAGGGATAAGGAAATGAGCGAGCCGATGAGTCCTTTTAATGTGTATTAAGGATTTATTGTGCTTCCAACATTTTTAAGTAACCCTCTGTAGTTTAGTTGTCAAGAAATAACTCAAAGCTTAAAATAAGCTTTTCTGTTTGGACGAATAAAGCTTTTTGATCAACACTTATTAATTATTGAATAAAAAATAATTGATGTATTTTTCAATTCAACAAAATTGTTAAATTTTATTGGGTTCAATTATAAAAATTTGTAATTGAAAATTTTTTTGTCTTGAATTTAAATTTTTAATAATTATATAATAAAGTATGTTAAATAAAAAAATATACTAATCATTATTTGTAAGAACCTAATTTTTTTGAAAACTACTAAACGAAATACTGCCTAATTTTTTTGGAATGAAAATTTGTTTTCTAGATGCGAAGCAAAGAGTTTCCTAATTGACGCAAATTCTGAACACTCTGCCCTGTAGGAACCCCCTCTAATCATCTTGGAACAAGACAAAGACTTGATTTGTGAACTCCTTAGTT